TTTCACGCACAACCATCTCTAGGGTTTACAGAGAATGGTCCGAAAAAGAAAAAACATCCAGTGAGCGGCAGTTCTGTGGGCAGAAATGCCCTGTTGATGCCAGAGGTCAGAGGAGAATGGCCAGACTGGTTCGAGCTGATAGAAGGGCAACAGTGACTCATATAACCACCCGTTACAACAAAGGTGGGCAGAAGAGCATCTCTGAACGCACAGTACGTCGAACTTTGAGGCAGATGGGCTACAGCAGCAGAAGACCACACCGGGTGCCACTCCTTTCAGCTAAGAACAGGAAACTGAGGCTACAATTTGCACAAGCTCATCGAAACTGGACAATAGAAGATTGGAAAAACGTTGCCTGGTCTGATGAGTCTTGATTTCTGCTGCGACATTCGGATGGTAGGGTCAGAATTTGGCGTCTACATGAAAGCATGGATCCATCCTGCCTTGTATCAATGGTTCAGGCTGGTGGTGGTGATGTCATGGTGTGGGGAATATTTTCTTGGCACTCTTTGGGCCCCTTGGTACCAATTGAGTATCATTGCAACGCCACAGCCTACCCGAGTATTGTTGCTGACCATGTCCATCCCTTTATGACCACAATGTACCCAACTTCTGATGGCTACTTTCAGCAGGATAATGCGCCATGTCATAAAGCTGGAATCATCTCAGACTGGTTTCTTGAACATGACAATGAGTTCACTGTACTCAAATGGCCTCCACAGTCACCAGATCTCAATCCAATAGAGCATCTTTGGGACGTGGTGGAATGGGAGATTCGCATCATGGATGTGCAGCCGACAAATCTGCGGCAACTGTGTGATGCCATCATGTCAATATGGACCAAACTCCCTGAGGAATGCTTCCAGCACCTTGTTGAATCTATGCCACCAAGAATTGAGGCAGTTCTGAAGGCAAAAGGGGGTCCAACCCGTTACTAGCATGGGGTACCTAATAAAGTGGCCGGTGAGTGTATATGATATAGATATCATATATATATATATATGATATATATATATGATATATATGATATATATATATATATATGATATATATGATATATATATATGATATATATATGATATATATATATGATATATATATGATATATATATATATATATATGATATATATATATGATATATATATGATATATATATATATATATATATATATATATATATGATATATATATATGATATATATATGATATATATATATGATATATATATGATATATATATGATATATATATGATATATATATATATGATATATATATGATATATATATATATATGATATATATATATATATATATATATGATATATATATATATATATATATATGATATATATAATAATATTATTAGCAAGGCATAGGCCTGTTGCACAAAACTTACTCTGCAGAGAGCGTGTTGTTTGGTCCTGCGGGTCTTGGCCTCTTTTTCCAATTGATTTTGGGCACATGGAAAAACATCTCCAGAACTCCACGGGTCAGTAATGGTGGATAATCCATGTTTTGGGTGACACAAAGTCTTTGGCTAGTGCTCTCGGTCTCATCAGTGGAGATATTTAGATCCTCCAGTGGTGGCATCAACAAGTCCCAGTCCACACAGCAAATGCTCTGCTCTTCTGTTGGCATTGCTTGACAATTTCCACATTTACACCACCATGTTTCTGACGCTCTACGTCTGTAGCACAATGGTGTTTGCGGCTCAGCTTGAGCTGCGGCTGCCTCATCCATGTCTCTAAGTTCGTCATCTGTGTATTCTGGTTCATAGAGAAAATGCTCGGCAAAGAACTCATGCTCTTCCTCAACGCTGAAGTCCTCAGACATTTTTCTTTCGTTGTTTCTTTCTTTGCACAGGTAAACAGCACATTTCTTCTTCTACGCTTGCATTATCGGCAGAGCAGACGTTGAATGCGCACTTTCTTCCGGTTTGGTCTGCCGCGGTTTCCGTAGAATCGTGAGCGCGCTTTTAGGAAATCCTATACACTACTGTTTATGCTCTAAAACGTTCTAAATGACTTCGTTTCGAGTAAATTCTGGATGCTACCCACTCAGGACACTTGGATTACATTGGACGAGCAGTATGGAGGAATATTGACACGTTTTTGTGGACTTTTGTGGACCTTTCTGTCTCGGGCGCCATAGACCTCCATTATTTGAATGTCAGCAGACAGCAAGAAGCCTCCCAGATCTCCAGATGCATTTGAGATATCAAAAAAGTACTCCAGAGTGTTGTTCAGCATGGGGGTGAGTAGAAAATGAAGGCTAATCATGTTTTGGGTGTACTATTCCTTTAATCAAATCTACTACAAAGAGAAGAGCTGTGAGATCTTTTCCAAAAACCACGGTGGAAACAAAATTGCACAACAGTGAGCCCAGAGGAAGAGCTGATGACTTTTTCACTACTGACTGTCAAATCTGCATGGGGTCTGCTAGCTAACAGAATGTAGGAAACAGTGAGGAAATACAGTCCAAGTTATAAAAATGTGGATTCAAGTGTTGTGGAAAAGAGGAAGTATGAGGACTGAGCATTCAAGCTGTTTTACAATTCATCTAACTATGAAAGAAAGAAAATACTGTTCTAAACCCTATTTGTGTCACATTGTTTTAACCATTAAAGCTGTCCCTACCCCCACCTATTGCTGCAACATGCTCCTCTATAGATTGATCCTTAAATCAGAGGTCTTCAACAGGGGGTCCGCGACCCCTAAGGGGTCCCCAGAGGTACTGCATGGAGGTCGCGAAAGTTTTGGTTTATTAGACTTTTATTTAATATTCACCCTGCAATTTTTTCCACTAATTGAAATGTCTTTAAATCCACATTAACATGAATTCAGACTGTAGTAAACAGATAAATGGAGGCAGAAGATGTCTTTCAGTCATCAATGCCAGTGGTGGTTCTATACCAAATGTACATGGGGGCCAGGATTCCATAATTTTGGAATTTTATATATTTTTGACTTAATTTAACTTAAAATTACATTTTTCTATAAAATCTGAATTAGAACAAAAAAAAAAAATACGATGCATTCAGGTTTAAAAATTAGAGGAATTTCTTTTGAAAAAAAGAAAACTGGGATCCAATCTCAATACAACACACAGGAGCTCTTTCAAGCTGGGCACCGTTTCCTTCACAACACCTGTCCCGTCAACCAGGAATCAGAAATACTTTAATAATCCCAGCGAGAAATTACTTTCATTACATTACTCCATCGAGTGACTATAGGACCAGTTTGATAGAACACTATTTCATACAATCTATATTTAGGGGGTCCCTGCTCCATCTCACCATAAGTTTGGGGGTCCCTGGTCTGGAAAACGTTGAAGACCCCTGCCTTAAATGATCTTCCTCTTAGATAGAATTTCTGTTACATTCATAGCGATGTTGTTGAAACCAAGACACTAAAAGATAATTTTTTCAGGTGAACAGAAGTTGCTCATTTGTTTTAGGGTTTTTTAATGACAAAATTTAGCTGATTACAAAGGCCTGCGACTACATTCAGTGCCAGCCACAAGAATCAGCCTTAAATCAAACAGCAAATTTGAAACTGCTTCTGAATAAAATTGAATCTTGGATATTAAAAATACATACAGACATGGACAAAGTTATTCAATAAAAAAAAACTAAATGGTCATAGAAATAACTTGAGTCCAACACAGGTTATATGAATAACATTTTTATAAAAATGAACCAATAAAACTCTACTTGTCTGTCTGTCTGTCTGTCTATTCTCCAACTCTGCAATATTTGTTAGTTCAACTAATACCCTTATGTCCTCTGTTCTTTTTCTCATCATATTAGCTGTCTGGTCTGATCTTGTTCCAGAAAATAAAAACCCTTCTTAGTTTTCTTTCATCCTGTTCATTAAACCAGGTGATTAACCCCCAGTCTGTGTTTTGGAGGTTAAAATATAAATGTTGGAACTAATCTCGTCCATGATTTTTACTTTGCGGATCTGGATTATCTGGTTCTTAGTTTTTCAGTGCTTAGTCCTATTTCTCTTCTAGACATTACTATGTTCTCAGCTTTTACTGTGGCCAACAATGCGCTCTTTTTTTTATCCCTTTTGACATAAAACTTAACTCATAGCCTAACAGTTTATTTTGCAGACAGAGCCACCTGTGGAAGTGCTTCAAGTCCTTTCTATTCCCTCAGTGTTTTTGTCTCTGTCTTCTTAAACCCTAGTTACCCTCGGAGGAAGTCGCTCATAATGAGCCTGGTTCTGCTGGAGGTTTCTTCCTGTTTAAAAGGGGATTATCATCTCCACTGAAACTGCATGCTTCCTCTGTATGAGGGATGACTGTTGAGTCAAAGACAAATGCAAGCAAATATCTGTTGTCTACATTTGCTCATCCAGGTGAAACGAGTCCTGCAAAGTCAGTGACTTAATGCAACAGTTGGGTTTTCTTAGATATCAAATTTTTAACCAATCTGACTGTATGATCTGATTGAAGTTTTTTCGAGATGACATGATTTGGAGATGAAGAACTAACTTTTGTAAAAAGAAAAAACAAAGTCATCAGTGGGTTAAAGCATCTTGCAGTAGAATTCATACCCTAATTAAATGTGCTGATGACTTCGTAATGTCTGGAATGTTGCTGTGTATATCTTGCATTGTTGATTCTTAATAAGAAATCTGCGACATTTTCGTCATGCTTTGCTCATTTGCATTTCTTTCTACTTAAGTTGTTTACAGACATTCAACTTTGAAATGGTTTTTGATGCTGACCCCAGTTGCGAGGTCACAGTTCTGGGCTGTGGGTTGAAATCGAAGGGATTTGATCTTATTCATCATTCATGTATTTCCTCTTGCCCAAAATGCTCATCAAAGACATGCATGTAAATAGGCACACTTGTTTCCTCTTGTCTGATTCTCTCATTATTTCTGTTAGATAGCCCATTAGAGATCAGCCGTCTTGGAAATCTCTCACTCTGATTAGGCCGCTGTGAGAGGCAAGAGGTTAGAAATGAGGTCGGTCAACTGTGACTTACCAACAGCAGACATTTCTGGAACTGACGCACGGTATGGGCCTTCAATGAACTGCGGTGGGTTGTCGTTTATGTCCTGGACTTTGATGATGAACTCAGACGGCGGCTCCAGAGGCTCGTCTGTGTCAGCGTTAATGACCTGGGCTGTTAGCGTGTACTCTGCTTTCTCCTCACGGTCCAGCCTCTTCATGGCATGAATGTCACCTGTTAACTCATTTATGGCGAAGATGGTGCCGGCCCCCTCGCCTGCCAGAACATATTTGATGTTCTTGTTGCCCACATCCAAGTCTGTGTGTAGCTGCAATCAAAAGAACAGAGAGATAAAATGTTAGGAAGATGTTTTGAAATCTATTTATCTATCTATCTATCTATCTATCTATCTATCTATCTATCTATCTATCTATCTATCTATCTATCTATCTATCTATCTATCTATCTATCTATCTATCTATCTATCTATCTATCTATCTATCTATCTCCTCAACTACTTCAGAAAATGATTTCATGGTGAAGTGTCGTCAATTAGCATTCTGTACAGCTTAAACTTTTTCACCTTCAGTAATTTGACAGCCATGATAAATTCATTATAGGTTTAAGAGTTTATTAAAGAATGTTGGTAAACCATTTAAATGACGACCAAGAAACAAAGAAAGAAAGCTGTATCCAGGCTTCTTTCCTGTGTAACCAACAAAGAGTTTTATTTCGTAAAGCAGACACCCTCTCAACATTTATGGCTTTCCTTTTTGATAAAGCCTATAGGTGGAGTGGCTCAGGTTCCAATGTCCTCCAGGCTTAGGCTGCCGTAGAGAACATTGGAACAACTTTCGATTACTCTGCAATTCAACTCTGCAGTTTATGTTAGGTCAAACGCTAATTTTAAGCTCGCTCTGCCTTTTCTTCTCAGAGTAGCTCCATCTGGGCTGGTAGTGTTTGTCTATGAAATCCTCCTAGCTCCAAACATCAGCTGGGCTGCTGCCATTAACAACTTTCATTTTGAAGGATTGAGTAGAGCCCATTATTTAGTGCTTAGTCATGTTTTTCCCCCTAGACATAGCTATAGAAGAAGCTTTTACTTTGACCAACTGCTCTCTTCTCCTCTGTGCATGGAAATCAGCTCAGAGCTCATCTGCCTGATTGTTTCTTTCCTACACAGAAAAGGTAACACTAAATTAGCCACTGTATGTATTGCTGATGTATTTAAAGGTATTGAAGGGGATTTTTGCGAATTTTTGAAAAGACCCGCCCTCTCCACTTTTGAACAAAACGCACATGCACAACCCTGTACCCGCTCCCCAGAGGGAACGCCTATTAAACGCTTGCAAGAGCGTGCACGAGCACATTTCTCCTGGTGCACGCTCTGTTTAAGAGTTGCTGTTTGCAAGCTTATTTTCAGAAGAAGATTTGAAATTTTTCCACTATGTCAGAACAAGCACGTTCAACAGCCTTACGTAAACATATCACCAGAATGATTGACAACTAGGAGGACCAGTTATTTTAATGATCCACCTAGAAAAAGGACATCCTCCACTATACCTTTAAGCAAATGTAGGTACATCCTCCTCTCCAACTATAGCTTGCTCTGGTGCAAGCTAACAGAACTGACAAAGACTCCTGAATAAGTGTTGAAACAATTGCCTTCCAATTCCAAGAACTGACACAGGCAATAATTGATACAGAAATTCAAGATCTACAAATACAGATAGATAGATCTGTACCTGTAGCCCCCAAAAGATAATTCCAGCAGAAGCTGGACAGTTTGACAATTTTTTCTTTATGCATTTTCCTTCTTAACATTTGCTCTCTACTTTCCTCTTCACAACTGATCACTACGTTGTGTTGTCCTCTCAGACAAAATTGTGTTTATAACGAGAAAACGATATGAAAATCTGGACATTCAATGCTTATGACTTTTTTTTGTGCTATTTTATGCATATTCAGTTGAAGTATTTGACATAGGTGTAATACCTTATGGTTGCTGCTGCTCCATTGCTGGAAGAAGTGTTGCCTAGATACTAAACATGGCCCAACATTGCTTCGCTTAGCTAAATGAGGCCCGCTGGGGACAATAAGTTTATAAGTAGCGCAGGAAATGGACCAAAGCCGACATAGTTCCTCGTTGTACATCAAAAAAAGCGTCATACAAACATGCAATCCTAGGTAAAATGCTCCCTGAAGTGTAGAACTCACGGAAAACAGAAGCTGGTTGTGGTCTGGATGCAGAACTTATTAGAAGGCAAGAATCAAAGGTACATTTCTTTTCTAAGGATGAATCTATCCTCATTCATTTCCTCAAATAAGTCCAAAAGTCAGTGGACGGTGCTGCATACTCCTCATTATTTTTGTCATTATGGTTTCATTAGTTCAGTAGAGCTGCATTACATGCTAAGCTGAGTGGTTAGATCCCACTCGCTGCACAGCCTGGTATAACTAATGAGCCTGACAGGGCTATCTATGTAAGGCTGCTCAAACACACGAGGAGGAGAAAGCCTAAGCTGTAGGGTTTAAAAAAAGGAACTTACAGGAGAAAATGCAAGAAGAAAACATAAGAGGAAGGTGGGATACAAAAGCAAAGAAGTTTGATTTTATTCATCTAAGCTCTTCTCATATATGCCTCCTGATCCATGATGCGAGTGATTGTCAGAAGAGGGGAAGACAGGGCTCCGGGTTTCTGGCTTCGGATGCCAGCACTCGTCATTTCTGTCTCTATTTTTGTGAACATACATGTTATCTGAAAGACATGCTTTCAAAAAGCTCACAGGCATGAATCAAAACATCTGAATTCAGCAGCTTTAATTTCATTTCCCAGCCAGTGTTTCAGCAGGGATTCCTGTGGGAGCGTAGCTGGGATGCGGAAAAGAGAAGCAGGGATCTGTCGGCAAAAATCCCGTCCCCTCAAGCCCTCCCCGCGCGACATTCACGCAGGCCAGCTTTTATGTGTTTGCCGTCTCCGAGGTGTTGTTTGAAGACACTGACAAAGCACATTCGCTTAAATTGTCACACCTTGCACTTTTGTTTTCCTAATTGTGCCATCATTTCACATGAATGATGTAGCTCATTAACACAAATGCCTTACAACATCCTGCATACTGAGAAACTCCAAATGAGCTCAAATTAATGATGGTCTGTCATTTTTAACCCCCTCTTTTATTCTGTTTGGCTACTTGCATGTAATCTAATATTTACAACTCAATACCTTCAATGAAGGGGTTCTGTTAGGATGGTAACACAGTGCTGAACACATACCCTGCTGCAAAAGTATACCTATGAGTTCAGATTGTATATACCATATGTATAAAGATGGATCCTTTACAAAGTTTTTAAACACTTTTTTAAGGCATTAATCTCTCTCTGAGACTAAAATAATTGCTCGTTCCACCCAATTATTCCCATCAGAAGCTTTTGATAACTCTTTCACATCGTTGTTTAAGGTTAAACTCAAGTACGGACTTCAACGAGGACTCTAAATAACCTTTATTTAATTTCTCTGAGGCCAACTAGACTCGCTAGTTTCCCTCAGATCATTGTGTTCTTGGATCAACCAAAGGGTACTTGAGGTCATAAACTGCTGACAATTAATTATCTGCTAGGATTTTCTAACCTGACTCCCCCAGATGGATTTGCTCCGCATATCCATCTGGAAACCTTCCGTTGAAGTCATTTTGGGAAGGGGCGAAAATACTGGTTAGCTGATTGGCCTATGTTGGTGATAGACGGGCCAAATAAACCAATCAGATCAACCAAGCATATGACGTACTAACAGACCGACGACGAAGAGGAGCCAATTGACAGATCAAAAGCAAAAACATCTTTTCCTCTGAGAAAAGATGTTAGACACGCTAACGCTAGTTTCATCGGCTGAAGCCGCCATGTTCTTTAGACTGAACTGTCGCGCTTCTCGTTGCGTCACACCTCAACCCGCCTCAAAGCCAACGCTGATTGGACGTTCGTTTGGTGAACGGCTCCAAATTTTCTTTAACGGAGAGTCTCCAGACTGATCTGCGTGTGAAATCTTAAAAGCTTGCAAGATCAGGATGGTCTCACGAGGCTAAGGATTTTCTGCTAGAGAGAAAAAAATCATAGTTGGTTCCAGGTCGACGGGGGTAAAGGGGGCGGGGCAACTGGGTATTTCTTATTTACTGTAGTGCTAAAACAATTAATGGGATTTATCGTGATTAATCGAGTATTGAAATAATCATAACCAAACTTAATAATTGATTAATCATTCAATGGAGTGTAGAGACTCTAAAACTTGTCTTTAGCTGACAGAGTGACCCATTTAGGGCAGTAATTATATCAAAACTTTAAAAAAACAAAATATATAAACATTTTGCAATTAAGATTTTAAAAAATGTTTTGTCTGTCAATATGTTCTATCCAGAACTCAAGAGGAAATGTTTCAGGTTCACTTGGTTTAATTTTGCAAAAAGTCATCTTTAAGGAAACTTAAGATATGCCACTATAAATTAAAAAAGTTAACTGACATATCAGTCAATTTGCTAAATAACCATTAGTTGCAACCCTCATTTACTTCTTTACCTAATTTTTTTATTTATTGCTGCATGTGAAAAACTTTTATAGCTTGCATAAATACCATTGATTATAATTTTCTCTTCATAATTGTCCATGCAGTATTATGATAGACATCCACTGACCCCCATCCCCACAAAATAGTTTGGCAACTGATGCAATTTCTTTCAGTTTATGAAGTCGCCCTGTTAAAGTTCACAATGCTCGATCGGCTGCTGGTGAAGAAGGGAAAATTATGCAGCTCAACAGTGGCTCCATTACTTTGATATATAAACAGTGCCCCGGCTGTCATCTGAGGATCAAGCCGCAGGTACAGCCTATCTTTGGTCGGCGTCAACCTATTGACAGCCTGCTGTTAGCGCTAAAAAAACCTCTATGTATCTGTGCTCAATGAAGTTATAGTTAGGAACACACAAAAAGAAGATAAAAATGCATTAATACAAGCATTTAATGAATGAAACCATATGTATTATAAATAAATAATTATCTAATTTTTATGATTTTTGTGTTGGGAGCTGGAGAAGATTCCATCTTTCTCCAGCAGAGTCCGCTGTGGATCCTCTGAGGGAGCCTCCTGCACAGCTGCAGCTCATCAAGACCATCAGAGGATCCACTATATAAGCTGTCTTCAGACCTTGCCTCAACGCCGCAGTGTTGCTCCAGTTGGTCAGCGCTAAAGCCTAGATTCTCAGTGCATCTCCATGACTTTGAATCCAGTCTGGATTCTAACTATTGTCTCTGTTTTCCAGGAAACCTGTGCCTCCTCTGTGA